TGTGAAAATAATTTCTATTCCCATGGCTTTTTTGTTCTCTGGGAAGTTATTTTGATGATAAATACAGAAACGAGCATAAAAATCAAAACATCTACAATAGTGATAGTAATATTAATAATCAGTGCAAAGTAGCCTACAAATACTTTGGTGGGGGGCGGTGAGGGACCTGGATAAAGGCTAGGGGGGCGCTGGCCCAAAAAAGGTTGAGAAACACTGATCTAGATAGATAGATAGACCTATGTTTTATTATATTGCATACATACAGAAATGGCATGTATACCACTTTCAAATTACTCAGTTTGAGCAATTTCATTACCTTCTGAGACCTGTTCAATTTCAGGGCTATGGCGCTTCTCTTTCTAGACAAGGGAGAGCATGTCATGATCCGTGTTTCTGTGTGTTTATTTTTGAGTTATTTCTGTGTTTATTGTTACCCTGTTCCCTGAGTCTCTGTCTCTGCGTCTTTCCCGTTGATTGTTCCCAGGTGTGTCTCGTTCGTGTATTTATGTCCACCTGTTGTCTCCGTCTCCAGCCACCTCCGTCCGCCCGTCTCCAGTCGAAACAGTTCCCATGGTGATGGGGTTTCAGGCGGCCAGACTAGCCCCAGGACGACAGGTGGAACGGCTAGTGGCGTGGCCTGCTCCAGAGTTTTCTGCGTCCGCTGCATGTGAGCAGCCCCCAGAGTTTCCTGCATTTGCTGCACGTGAGCAGCCCCCAGAGTTTCCTGCGTCCGCTGCATGTGAGCAGCCCCCAGAGTTTCCTGCATTCGCTGCATGTGAGCAGCCCCAGAGTTTCCTGCGTCCGCTGCCGGTGTGCAGTCCCCCGAGCCAGAGACTCCTAGTGCTCCTCCAGAGACTCCAGCCGGCCTTCCAGAGCCTCCAGCCGGCCCTCCTGCCGGCCCTCCAGAGCCTCCTCGTCTGAGCTTCCTGCGCCGGCGGAGACCGCCGGACCCGCCTCCTCGTCTGTGCCCACCGCAGCTCCAACTCCGCCTCCGACGTCGCTGCCCTCCGGATCTCCCACGGGAGCTCCACCTCCTGTGCCGTGGTCGGCCCCCGGACTGTTTCCTGTGTCCGAGTTCCTGTTTGGGTTTAGTTTTTGATTTCTGGACTCTAGCCCTCCTGCCGTCGCCCCTCCGCCCACCCTGTTGTTTTTGGGGTTTTTTGGGACTGTTTTCTTTTGGGCGTCTGGTAGCCGCCCTTGAGGAGGGGGTACTGTAATGATCCGTGTTTCTGTGTGTTTATTTTTGAGTTATTTCTGTGTTTATTGTTATCCTGTTCCCTGAGTCTCTGTCTCTGCATCTTCCCCGTTGATTGTTCCCAGGTGTGTCTCGTTCCCTTGATTACCCCGCGTGTATTTATGTCCACCTGTTGTCTCTGTCTCTTGTCGGGTCCTTGTCTTACGTTTGTCTTAGTTCGTGTCATGCTTTCCAGTAGAACTGTACATTCCTGGTTTGCTAAGCTCTAGTTTCACGTTGTCAGTTGCTGCCGGTTGTTAGCTGTGTGCTAATTGTTCCTGCCGTCCTGCCTGACTTGGACAATGTTGAGCTACATTCATCATTAAATTTATCCTCTTCATCACAACCTGGGTCTACCTGCATCTCTCCTCACCACCAACCAACACCAATCGTGACAGAGCAAAGGTCATTTAGAGCAAGCTCTTCTCATGCCAGTTTGAAATGTGATGTTACTCCTAATTCCTGGTTGGAACAAAGCCTCTATTTTTTTACCAGAGTTCAACCAAAAGTTAAACTGTCTTAAACCTATTTTATTTCCCTGCTGGTCAATTCCTACATATACAGATCAGTGCAGTAATTTTAAATTGACATGACGCCTGGTACGCAAAGTGGTTCAGAACTTCTGCATCCTCTTAGACGGAAGCACAGATTTTAAGAATAAAACTCGTATAGAATATACCTGAGCATTTTCAATATAAACACATTAATTCTAAACATTTTCTAATTAATGTTATGCTAGTTTTGATTATATTTAACTGATATTACGTTTGGCCTAGGTTAGAGACTCCATGTAGTTAATATAAAACTAATTAGACTACTTCAAGTCATGTTAATTTTAACTAAATTGTATTCTACTAATTAAATTGCAATTATTGTTAGTATTGTGTTATTTTGTTTGTCCTTAAGTTTTAATGTTTCTCTGAGGGAGATGACTTGAGATGTCTCCTCGCTGCCTGCTCATTTGAGACAGGCCTGTGTGACAGTTAATTTATGACATGGTTCCTCCCTGATAACAGACATTCTTTTCTGCAGGGCTAACTTAAAGCCCTCTAAGATGCTATCCAAAAGAATCTTACTCAATCCACTATTTTCACATGTAAGATTTAACTGTATTAAACACTAAGAATATTTATTTTCCTCAACACACCTTAACTCCTCCAATACAATTAAGGTCAAAACGGTGAATAAAAAAAACAGTGTGTGCTCATCAGCATTAAACAATAAATGGTTTGACATTCTGAATCATATTTTGAGTTTCAGTTTTAACTCTGCTTGGTCTGCTTTTTGACTGATGTGCAGCTCTTTCAAAAACAAAACAAACAAAACATTTGATTCAATTTACCTCCCTGTGATCAAACTTGTTCAGACAAATGGAAATAACATAAAGTTAATTCCAAAGACAACTTTTTAGTTGTATGTTGTCCTTGTCTCTTGCTGTACATCTGATCAGACATTCTTCTGACACTTGAAGACTTCGTGATCCAGGAGTGTAATAACCTCTGAAAAATGCTCTTTCATTTGTGCAGTTATCAAGAAAAAAAAAAAGGGTTCTATTCACAACGGCTTTCGAACAGTGGCCTTGAATGTAACATTAAGAATATTAGGTATCTACAAAGAGTCAGCTCAGGGAGTTTTAGAGTTTCTTTTGGGAATATCATACTGATGAAGAGAAACTGCTTGTATTTGCTGATTCAACAACACGATGATCTGGTAAGCAGAGCTTTCTATGTTACAGAGAATCAAAAGTAAAAAATATAATTTACCTTCAAGAGGTAGTCAGTAGCTAATGCGCCTGCTTTCCCAGTGCTGTGCTATCTGTTAGCATGGGGTGAAAGTGAAACCTCGTATCTTAGAGGTCCACGGTTCTTCCTGTTTGCCTCTGAAAGTTGCAACACTGTGGGAGTGTCCTGTGTTCCTATAGACTGACATCTATACAAAGCAGAAACATGACTCACTGAAACAGGAAGGGTGTGTCGAAGAGTTGTCCTTGTTGGGTTTCTGGAGACTGATTACAATTGCTTTGAGTAATACGTTTTAATGTTTTATTTATTTTTAATAAATTAAGGAAAACAGACTAACGATTTTGCACAATGTGAATATTATTGTGGTCCACCAGATGGAAGTGCTGTTTGTAAAGATAACGACTCAATTCTTCCACCCAAGGAAGCCGGGCATGGGGGTGTTGGTTGGATTCAACAGAAGGGAGGGGCGGAGGCGCTCATGCTGCACCCCACAAGATACTGCCCTCGGGGGTTGCCCATGTCGCCCATATCAGAAACCGCCACTGCAGCTGTAAAGCATAACATCACTGAAAGCTGATGTTCACCTTAGACGAACTGTTCAATCTGGGAGGCATTTTCAGAAAAGAATGAGAAACGCATAAAACAGACAGATTTTGAGACGATTCAACTTTTTTGTTTGTAACGACTCCAGCAATAAAATAAGAACTATTAGTTTTAGAGAAGATGACTATTCAGCACATAGTAAAGTACAGTTCTTTTTTACTGACATGATATAAAAAAATATATATATAATGTTATAAAACAGCAGATAATTATATGGAAGTCATTGGTGCAGGTCAAAAAATTATTGCATTTTTTAAATTAATTTATTTTTCCATTATACATCACAGTACAAGATGCATAGTAACAGTACATTAGTGAAAAAGAAAATAAGTACTTTGGGTTAGTGACGGAACATGCATGACCGTGTGTGTGTATGTGTGTTTATGCGTGTGTGTGTGTAAGCAATGATAGTGAACTCAATGAAATTGTAAAATTCGGCTCCCATTTAAAGCAGAACTTACAAATACACACAAGGGGGTTACGTCACAGGCATCAGGCAAAATATGTTACACCAGTTAAATGGAGAAGTAAATAAATAGCCAAACACTCAAATATGAAATTATGTTGACCTTTTGCAACCATGATTTATTACAAAAAAACACGAACTAAGAAAATAATAATAGTTATCCTAATAAATCAGTAACCAAAACTCTCTCAAAATAAGTTTAGGATAGGTTTAATCCACTTAGTTCATGTTAGTAAAGAAACTCAAATGGTTAAATGTCCAAATCTTCTTGATCCTTTTTAATACGAATATTGTCCAGAAACGAGTTCCATATCATGGGAGAATTTCTCTTTTTTTATTCAAAGTCTCAATCCAAAACGAAAAATCCCAAGCGTCAAAAACCTCCTCCCAAAAAATGAGAAAAAGGAATGGTACCACCAAAAATCCCCAAAAAGAAACGTAAAGTCCAGATCTCACCGGGAATGTCTTTCTTCCCGCCACCCCTCCGGTGGCGTCCTCTCGCTCCGTCGGCGTCCTCTGGACAATTGGCGTCCTCCTGCACCTGGCGGAGTTTCCTGTGCACAAGCTCCAATCCAGCTCCTAAAGCGCACGATCCGCGGCGCTGGGGCGAACTTTCATCTTCCGTTTTACCTCCTTTCTTTGATTTATTATTTGTTCTAAACGTTCAATTAATTCAAGTTTCCCGCTGCACGGATCTGACGGTGAGCATCTTCCCCTCTGATTGCGCCGCCGCGAGCCGATGCACACGCCCCTTTTTATACACTAAATCTCAGCCACACCTAAAAATCAGCATGACAATGCCCAAAAATCAGTTTTAAAAGTGGAAACTCTGAATAATTTTACAAAGAAATAACAGCAACTGTTATACCAATCAGATGATACATGGTTATGGTTATGTTACAAAATAACACTGACATCATCAGAGGATTAAGAAATTAAAATAATTGAATAGTAATAATAATAATGATAATAAAATCAGTAAATTATCTGGAAAAGACAATAGAATATAGACATATAATGCATCAACTAATAGAGTTAAAAAGTTATTTCTACTAGGTTGAGTTTGTTAGATTATATCCAGAACTACATAGAATGGGAGAGGGAGGGTTGCTCTGTGAGGCAGAAGATCAGAAGCTTGGAAACTGAAGCTCCTAGGAGGAGCTGCTTCTCGAAGACGGTGCTACCAACTTCACCAACAGGCGTTTTGCACCACTAAATGGTTGCCACGAGAGACTAAAGGATTTCTCAAACATGAATGAAAGAATCAAGGCAACACTCCAAGTATTTTTTTTAGGAGAAAATAACATTAAAAAACATTATAATGTGATGTAAAGCTAAAAATAGTTAATTTTACATAACACTGCCGCTTTGATATAACAGAGGCAAGACACTTAAATTCAAGTTATCAACCGATTCTGTGCATGAATGTGTAAATGTGAACATAAGTGTAACTCTGTAAAAGTGCATCAAGGGGCTGATATGCAAGTTGTGTCCATTTAGTATTTTGGACTGCAAATTACTGAAAACCAAGGTTGTTGACTGGATAATGTGTCACAACTGTGGTGTTTTGTACAGTAATGTTCATTACAGTAGAGCCAGACATTGATGCAACATTGCCAGGGTTAAGGAGCTGGGCTGGAACTGAAGCAGGGAAAAGGTGAGGGACCGTAGAGATGTACCCTGACATGGGGGGGTGGATGCGTGGGGCTGGCACAGCAGTTGTAGGGTTAGACCTTTGAATGGCAGGAGGAACAGTGGGTGTTGTGGGTATGAAAGATGGTGTTGGGAAAGGCAGAGGTGCTGGAGGCCTGAACTGTGGTGTCTGGGGAGGCAAAGGTGTTGGAGGTCTGTATTGTTGTGTTTGGGGAGGCAAAGGTATTGGAGGTCTGAACTGTGGTGTCTGGGAAGGCAGAGGTGCTGGAGGCCTGAACTGTGGTGTCTGGGGAGGCAAAGGTGCTGGAGGTCTGAACTGTGGTGTTTGGGGAGGCAAAGGTATTGGAGATCTGTATTGTTGTGTTTGGGGAGGCAAAGGTACTGGAGGTCTGAATTGTTGTGTTTGGGGAGGCAAAGGTGCTGGAGGTCTGAATTGTTGTGTTTCGGGAGGCAAAGGTGCTGTGGTTCTGAATTGCGGTGCTTGGAGAGGATAAGGTGCTGTGTGTCTGAACTGTGGTGTTTGGAGAGGATAAGGTGCTGTGGGGCTGAATGGTGGTGACGGAGGAGATATTGGTACTGCAGGATGTGGCTGACCAACAGGGGAAAACACTGATGTTGCATGCCAGGGCTCTGGCATTGGGAATGGCATTGGAGATGTCTGTGCAGGGCCATTACCTTCGTTAACACTCTCTTTGCTTGAGCAGAGTGAAATTAGCATATCCCTCTGCTCAATCTGCAGTGCTCCTGACAGGACCTGGAAATTATCATCTAGTTTATCATTCATCTTACTAAACTTATCCTCATTAGAGCCAGCCTTAATGAAGCCTTCAATAGAATTGGATTTGTGGAATTTTGTCATTAGTTGCTCTGCAGACACCAGTGTAATGCAGAGTTCATCCAGAGCTTGTTGAACTGTAGAAGAGATTTGACCATGTCCCTTTTCTTTAATGGCTTTAACAAGTCTCTCCAGGGTTCGAACTCTTTGGGCGATTCGTTGACAGCGATTTTTGTTGGCCTTCGCATTATCAGCCCTATGGTAGATGGCTGTGCATAGGCCAAAGATACGTTCTAGAGTGTCCATTATTTCCTGTTAAGACAGACAGACAACAGGCATAGATGTAATTATGTCATAACTTAAGATGTAGTTTATAACTTGCTAGTTAAATAAACTGGGGAGAAACAAACTAGATAGCAGTCAACTGGCAGTTTGGTATGCAGCTTAGCCAAATAACCTTGACCATAGTCCAATCAAATTTCATTACATGGATTGTGAAGTCATATGTTCAGGATAAATTGCTCTCCAACATTGAAGGTATAAAAATTGGTTCAGACTTAAAAAGCTTTATTTTTCTTTAGTTTATTTTTTTTATAAACTTGTATTGACAAATGAGATTCAGATATAGATACTTTAAAATATATTAATAAAAACACAGACATCACTTGTAAATATACCAGATTATAACCCAAGGCAAATTTGGTAGTTGACGTCAACGCATGACATATTTACATAAGGCAACAGGTACAACAAGACTCCACTGAAAAGTGGATACACAAAAATTCAACACTTATCCATCCACTGATTCTCTTTACCTACTTATTTTGCTGGGCTATGGAGGGGTGCTGCTTGTCTGCAGCGGTGGGTGAGAGGCAGGGCACACCCTGAGCAGGTCACCTGTCCAAAGATCAAAATAAAACAATAAAACACATGGGGATACATGTAGTTTTGTAATGTGAAGGAAAGGATAAACGTAAGAGTAACAGCATTGAACATGACTGATGTCAATAGAGATTGCATATATTAAGCCATATCTCCAATTGTTTTAATGTAAAACACAAAAAGTAGTTCTTCCATAATTCAACTTTTAAGGAAAACACTTTTTGGCAACAGAAGGTTGCTTGTGAAGTTGACCTCAAATCCCTCTTTGCTAAGGATTTTGTTCTGAATGTTTTTGTTCTAGTCATTCATACTGACCTATGAGAAGTGCTTTACAAATTCACCCAATTGCACTCAATAATGTGCATAAATTCATATTGAAACACACATATAGGCAGGCAGACTTGGGATATTATGTAAGTACTTTTGGTGACTTCTTGTATTATAATTTATCCTTGAAATGGAAGCTTTAAAGTGTAAATTCAAGCTGGGAAGACTCCAATCTACTCGCCGGCCTCTTCCATTATCACAAGCACCGGAGCGCAAGCCACTCAAGCCAATCACCACACAAGAGTTCCTTCAAAAGCACCAACAAAGATGGGGTCTCCAGCCTTTCAGCCGCGCTTTGACCCACCTCCTCCCCATCTCTACCTCCATCCGGATGAGCACCTCCGTGTTCCCTCCTTCCTAGGCTCTTCTCCACCACCAGTGTCCGGACCTGGGGGAGAAGACTACCCTGAGCTCCGGCCTGAGCCGATCATCAAATCGCTTGATGATGCTCAGCACGAACTTCTTCAGCCGGGCCTGAGCGCCAAAAAAGAACACAGTCTAATAAATCTTTCTAATTGATGTTTTTTCTCTGTGCAAAAGTTTTGCAAACAGCTGTTGAATAAATTGGACATAATGTAACAGAGCTACTCCAACATGCCAGGGGCGCTGCCAGGAATCTTAGGCCTCATGACAAAAAATTAGAGTGGGCCCTCCCGCCCCCTGCGCAGCTGCTGTTACAATTTCTTGAGTCTATAATGTGA